CAACTGTGCATGGTAAGCGAAAGTGCGTGTTACAGTGTCCACTGAACGACATTAGTTCCCTATCTGACCGTCGAAGATCGTATAATTTCAGCTAAAAATATTGAAGGAAGCTGAGAAACTACATTTCAATCAAGTGCTTACCTCCCCACGGAAATTCTCAATGAGCACGCACTGGGGATATGATAGGCGGAGTTGTCGTATCCAACCTGCCGATCGAGAGCCTAAAGGAATCATACAGTAATGAGAGAACTACCTGTACATATTACACGTGAAGTTTGATGGATTCATAAGACAAGATTTAAAAAAAAAGTTAGTGAAAGGAAAGATAACTTTTGAAATAAAGAACCTACCCTTCAGGGAACCCGTTACGTGATGACTTTTCATGCGCAAATCGGACAGAATCACATCACTATCTCTCAAACCCATGTAGATCAGATCTCCATTCTAGGAAAATTTTTTAAGAAAAAAAACAAACCAAAGGAAAAAAGAGCAAGACACTAAGATATTACAGATGTAAAATGTTGACTTATGACGTTCCGGCGGCGACTTGATATCACAAACGACTTCTCTGTGATCACATCCATGATTTTGGCAGTGTGCTCCATCCCTAAAACAAATTGTGGACTAAAACGAAAATCTCTTAAAAGAAACAACCCTACCAAGCGCAATACGTGTCAAATTGGAATTCCATGCGCAACTGTATATGGCAGATGACTCTACAGACCAGCGAATATTATAAATCGGCGAGTTCCGCACCTCGAAATCGTCATCAGTACACAGCGCGGACATGGGTTGCAGCACCACATTACACATCGACAATATTCCTTGTTCAGTCTCCCTATAAGATGTAAACAGCTGAGAATCTGTAAATATGATCGAAAATTGTTGGCAATGAGTAACCTTGAGTCTGCTGTTACATATAAAACGCAAGTTACGTCCGAGTCCACTGGCGCTACAGTCATATCGACAAGTACGGGCTCCGACACATCTTCAGTTTCTCCATC